AGTATTCCAAACATAGAAAGAAGAGAGGGAAGCTCCAACTTCTCTGTACGATTTACGACTCTATGTTGGTCGAAACGACTCAAGCCAAGAGTCAAAGTTTATCTGCACGACGAGGGCTACGCTTACGTACCAAAAATTATGGATTTCACGAAAGTTCAAGAAATAAGATTTTGGAGAAATCAAGAGTTTGAGCTTGATTGGTGTTATTGAAGTTNCTACGTACCAAAAATTATGGATTTCACGAAAGTTCAAGAAATAAGATTTTGGAGAAATCAAGATTTTGAGCTTGATTGGTGTTATTGAAGTTTTCTACTATTGTTCTACGCTCTAAGAGGNGGTCGAAACGACTCAAGCCAAGAGTCAAAGTTTATCTGCACGACGAGGGCTACGCTTACGTACCAAAAATTATGGATTTCACGAAAGTTCAAGAAATAAGATTTTGGAGAAATCAAGAGTTTGAGCTTGATTGGTGTTATTGAAGTTTTCTACTATTGTTCTACGCTCTAAGAGGTAGGGTTCTTATTCTAATTAGGTTTATTTTCAATCTAGGGTTCCATATGATATAGGTAGGCATGACTTGAGGTGAATTCTCTTGTTTAATGTAATCCTAGTGTAAATAAAGTGTGAAAATGGGTATAAAAATATGCTAAATCAATCTTGCATAAATTGGGTTTATAGAATTAAGAATGATTAAAATCAATTCCAGCATGAATTAAGTATGAAAAAATCACTTGTGATTTCTTGAGAAGTGTGATTATTTGGGCATAATATGTGTTACATAATTTTGTGCCTTTGAAATATATATGGAAAGGGTATGGTGTTAGAGATGAAATCTCATGTTTAGCACTTACTTATGGTACTTGAAATGTGAAAAATGGATATTAAGAATAATTAAAATCAATTCTAGAATGAATTGTGTATGTAGAATTCACTTGTTGTGATTTCTTGAGATTTGTGATGAAATTGGGCACATTATATATTTACATGATTTGACACCTCGAAGGTGTTTGATTAAATGTCTATGTGGATTAAGTATTATTTGCATTGATTATGTTATAACATACTTGGAATTTGATGTTGAAAAATATTGATATATGCATATGATATGTTGACATTGAGGTTGTTAATGATGGTTATATGCTTATGATGTAATTTACCATAGAAAGGTTGTTGGATATTGAATTATTCATAATGCGCTCATGACATACTGAACATGATATTGTAATTGCAATTAAAATCTTGGTTGCATAGGTATATGAAATGCAATGGTTCATTACATTTGCATATTGCACGGGTAACATCACAATAGTGGGCATTTGACATGAGTGTGGGTGTGTGTGCATGTTGTTAGATCAAACACCATTCTTGGTAGTTGATAAGTGGACTTGGTATAGTCAGATGAAGTTTCAACAAAGTCGTATGGGTGGCATAAAAAACTTGTGTTGGGTATAACAATCAAGACTAGATTTTCCCTCGGGTGCAAGACCCGATTACTGGTTTATACACTTCTATCGATGAAAGTCCAAAAATTTGTATTGGTGTGCAGAACTGGCAGTGAGACACCAAAATCCCGCTACCCAACAAAGACACATAATTTATTTTAAAAGGTCATTGGATATACAACATCAATAGTAAGGGCTTGGAATGCCCGATTTTATACTCATGGCATTTCATATGTTATTAGAGCTAGTAGGGGCTTGGGTTAAGTTGCATGTGTAAGTCTCATCTCATATCATGACATAGAATTTGGAGATTCTATTGTTAAATTGTATATTCTTGAATGAAGTGATTGTTGCATGTGAATATTTCATATGCATCTAATTTAGGGAGTAATCTCTTTAGGAGATATCCTATTGAGCATGACTCACCCTTTATGGGGACAATATTTCAGGTGCGGGATATCCGCCGGTAGACAGCTCTCGTTTGGGCCCTCATTGATGAAGAAAAGTCAAAATGTGGCTTTTAAACTATGCTTTTGTAAAATTAAGANGCCGGTAGACAGCTCTCGTTTGGGCCCTCATTGATGAAGAAAAGTCAAAATGTGGCTTTTAAACTATGCTTTTGTAAAATTAAGATGTCAATTAGTTTTTGGGGATGTAATGTGTATAAAGGATTGTAATCGAATTCATATGGACTATGTTTAATGTAAAATTGCATGTTGTTATATGAGTATGGATAAATAAACCAGGTGTGGTCAATATTGTATAATTTCACATATTGTATTTTGGGTAAATCTCCCTGTACAAAAGAGACTCTGCCTAAATTTTGTTAAGTTATGGATCCAGTAAATGAGGCATAACGATGTAATATTGAGTTACACGATATTCACAAGTATTTCATGGGTTGATAGGTNCCAGTAAATGAGGCATAACGATGTAATATTGAGTTACACGATATTCACAAGTATTTCATGGGTTGATAGGTGAACAACGGGGTTATTATGGACATCCGAATTTTGTGGCGTCACATGGGGGAAAATGATGATCCTAGATCCAACTGAGCTTGGATCTAGTCCGTTGGTTAAGCCCAAATCATCCAAACTCAGTTCATGGCCTCAATCCAGTCCAAATCTCAAGAGTCTAGAAAGGGTCAACGCACATGGTAGAACGATCATTAGGATAGCCATGATTCCATGATAGTGCCTATCTCCAATTATAGCTATTCTCCTTGGAAGATTAGTAGCCTAACCTTCACAACACCGCCACAGAGCTCTGTGCCCATAAATTATAAACCTCCTTACACATGGGACACAATCTATACCTTGAGCATACTCTTGCACTCTTTCTCTTCTCCTACTACCTTGTACTCTCTCATTAATAAAGTTCTCCAGTCAGCGTTACCGTCTTTAGTAGTTAGGTCACCCAAACCCAACCACACAATCTTTGTCTCCTATTATTGATTGCTTTGCACAACATACACTTGACTGATTTGATTGTACATAATCAATTTTGTGAATCATAAAAAATTAACACAAAATGCATAATTTAAAGATTAAAAAATATATTTGGCCCTCTTTCCTATCTTTAGAAAACATTTTATCTCTCTAAAACATTGCCACTCCATCACCGGCTTATTTTTAGAGCAATGCTATTGGGACATAATTTATCGACCTAATTTGTTGATCTAATTCACTATGACTTTTGGATTGACTATAGACTCCATCAAATATTGAGACTTGGTGTTAATTCAATGAATTTAATGAAACCACATTATTAGGTTAACAAATTATGTTTGATTTTTTTGTCCAAATAGCATTACTCTTATTTTTATTTAGGGTAAATTACACTCACACCTCCTGAAATTTGACTAAATGACACAAAGTCCCTCTGACATTTTTAAAATTACATGTCGACCCTTGAGATTTAAAAATCATAACACGAGCACCCCTTCCATCTTCCTACTGTTAGTCTGACTAATAGTAAATAGTGATGTCAGGGAACAAAATTTATCTAATTCCAAAATTACCCCTCTATAACACGCCTAACATTTTCTAAGACAATCTTGTCCACCAATTATCAATAATTTACTATTTTAACGACATTAATTTTACAATTATAAAAATTAATCAAAGATTAACATTAAACCATTACATTAGATTAAAATTAATCAAGTGGGATAATTACCATCAACTAGGATAATTAGTTTAACTAGGAGTGGTGGGTTTAGAGTGGTGATGGCAATGACAGTTGGGGTTGGGAAGGTTGGGTACAGTGAGGGGTGGGGGAGGGGGCCTGAGAATGAGATAGAGAGAGAAAGAGATTGTAGTTGTGGTGGTGATGGTGATGGTAATGGCGACTAGGTGGTTGGGTGCAGTGGGGTTTGTTGCAAGGAGGGGGTGATGGCCTGGGAGATCTGAAAGGAAGAGAGAATAGAGAGGTAGAGAGAGAAAAAAAGGGTTAGGAGTGATGGGTTTAGAGTGGTGGTGGTGGTGGCAGTTGGGGTTTGTTGTAGGGAAGGGGCAGGGGGCGTGTGGGATCTAAGAATGAGAGAGAAGAAACAGGTAGAGAGAGAAATAGGAATTGTGAGTGGTGATGCTGATGGAACTAGGGTGGGCTACGATGTGGTTTGTTGCTGGGAGGGGCAAGGGCCTGAAGGATCTATGAGAGAGAGACACATAGAGAGAGAGGGTTATGACTGGTGGTGGCAGTTGAGTTAGGAGGGTTAAGGTTTGTTGCAGGGAAGGGATGGGCCATGGAGATCTGTAAGTGAGAGAAAGAGGGAGGAGAGAAAGGGTTGGGTGGTTAGGGGATCAGAGAGAGAGGGGGAGATGGGGAGGGTTGAGTTACCTATAAAAGACAATGACCTTTTGCCTTTATTTTTAAAACTTTCAAGTCTTATTTTTCAAAGACAAATGAGAGGAGTTGTAGAGCACTTGAAAAACAAAGGCAAACCAATGTCTTTTATTTTTGTCCCACATTGAAAAATGAGGGAAGATGAGGAGGGTGAGTTGCTTATAAAAAACAATAGTCTCTTGTTTTTTTTTAAAAAAACTTTCAAATCTTATTTTTATGAGATTTGATTTAAAATTCCTCTTTTTTAAGGTAAGTGCAATTAGTAGTAAAAAAAATGAGTATTAAAATTTGTTGATATAATTTTTTTAAAATTAAAAGGGTTAAACGAGTTGTGTCGTGTTACCTGTTTATTAAACGGGTCGTGTTCGTGTTCGTGTTGAGATTTATTAAACTTGTGTCGTGTATGAGTTTATACTCGTTTAACCCGACACGTAACCGTTTAATTTGACACGATTGACATCTTAATGTAAGGGGACATCCGTGTTATTTAGTCAAATATCAAGGGGTGTAAATGTAATTTACCCTTTTATTTATTTGTTTTTGTTCACCGTCCGCCCGCCTTAAACCTAACCACTGGCTGCCGTCCCTCGACTAACTGGCCGTCACTCACTGTAGCTTGGGCAGTGGCCCCCACTCCTACAACCTAACATTCACTCACTTTCTCCACACGTCTATCTACATTGTTTTCTTCTTCAACTTTTCCTAGTCAACGACTCGACTCTGCTTCTGGACACTTTCCTTCAAAAACTCGAGACGCAATACTCGAGTTACTCGCTTCGAGTCTCTGAGTCTCTCTCTCTCTATGCATATAGATATACAAACATAATATACACATAGCTTTTCACTATCCTTCTCTCATTATTAGGTCAATCTCTGAAAATGCCAGCTTGGTGGTGGAAAAAATCGACCAAGAACAGAGACCAACAGCAGCAACAAAAATTCCGGCAATACCCACAAAGCAATTCTAACAATTCAAGCGAAGGTTCAATCAGAAACGATAAAAAGAGAGGCAAAAACAACAAGCCCCAGAATTTTGATGGAATATTATTACGATATTCACCGAGAAATAGCAAGGATTTTGGTGCTCTAGGAGTTGGGTCTTCGGGGTTTTCGGGTTTCGATTCATCGTCGGACAGAGGGCATCCTTTGCCACGGCCATCAGCGGGAAATGATCACGGGGTTGGGTTGGGGTCTGGGTCGTTCTCGGTTTCCAGTGTGAGCTCATCTGGGTCTTCCGACGATCATGTTCATCTTGATGGCCAATTGGGGGGTCTCAGGTCAGTTCGAATTGAGATTGGTTCTAAAGATTTTAATTTTGAAATTTGCTACTTTTGGTTTATGGCGTTGATTAGTCTGAGTATGTCTTGTTTCAATTATTTGCGGATCTGTTGATAAAAAATTGAACATGTAGTTTAATCATATCAGCTCAAAAGGGGCGCCTTTATTTAGTCAGGGGACCCTTTGGGGCTTTCTATCAATCATATTTTGGTCTACTGTTTGTTAAACTTTATGGTTTCCTAACTTTTTTTTCACTTCTCTGTGTGTGTGTGTCTCTCTACGTGACAGAACTATCCAAGTGTACTTGTTTATTGACCTGCTCTGCGGCTTCATTGAAATTTGATGATTGGAAGTAAACTTTCAAAGTAATACAGCAGATATAGGACAGTAGAGTTTTCAGTGTGAAGCTTTATATTTTGGTGGACAAACTTTGTGATATTAGGGGATATGAATTTCCTTCAATTCAGTTACTCATTGTGAGGGTCTTTCTATCTTTGACTCCATTAGCGATTATTTTAGATGTAGATGGTTCGTCACCAGATTGAGCTGCTCATTTTATAAAGCATGAAGGGTATGGATGGAGAGAGTGGTAAAATTTTGAGATTTTGTAGTGTATTCTCATTTTTATCGTTGCAAATATAAAAAAATTTATGCTGACAATGTGGTATCAGTGATGCTTCTGTGGTGCTATTGCAACTAACCTAATGGTTACAATTGTTATGCTGTCATGGTAGAGGACATGGAGATCCGAAGTTCAGCCCACGGCCAAGAAGCCCAGGTCCGGGGTCAAGAGGGACTACCACTACCACATCACCTATTGATCCACGGTTTTGTGGTTTGACTCTGGACTCTCCAACTGGAAAGTTGGAAGATGGGAAGAGTGAATGTCATCGTCTGCCCCTTCCACCTGGTTCTCCTACTAGCCCTTCTGCCTTGCCCACCCCAAGAACTTGTGGAACGACAGAAAACTCGGATTGTAATTGGTCGAAATGGAAGAAAGGAAGACTTCTAGGAAGAGGTACTTTTGGGCATGTTTACCTCGGGTTTAACAGGTAACAAGGCTTTTCTCACTGTGTAGTATGTATCAACATAACTTGCCAAAAAAATTAGATTCAGACCATAAAAATAAAATGTTGGAGGATGTTTAATTGAATCTCGAGTGTGTTCATGCTTAACGATTGTGTCAAATCATGGAGATGGATATTCTGGCTGTAACATGCAGTTACAAAATCAATAGCTGTTTGATATTGGCTAACTTGAACTGAGAAATCGACCGAAATGGTAACATAATGGTTTTGTTATATTGCCATTCAAAAACCAATAAAAGGATATGTAATGGTTCTTAGCAAACCATGATCAGAGACATATTGTATTGTTTGTTTGCATTGGTTTATGGCGCTACATTAAATGTAAAACATTTATGAATTGCCACATGGTGCATTTTTTTAAATTTGGTATTGGTTGATCTGAACAGTGAGAGTGGGCAAATGAGTGCAATTAAAGAGGTAAGGGTTGTTGCCGATGATCAGACATCGAAAGAATGTCTCAAGCAGTTGAACCAGGTTTTCCTGTCATCTCTTGTAGTGTGCATGCTACCAACCTCCCATCTTATTTTAAATTACAATTCTTCGTTGTCTAGTTTAACTCTGGAATTTTACATATTGAAGTTGTAATGTCTTATGATCAATTGGATTTGTAACACATTTGCATGTCCACAGGAGATCAATTTGCTTAGTCAGCTTTCACATCCAAACATAGTTCGATACTATGGAAGTGAACTGGTAAGCTAATATCCTTTTCAAACTTTGGTTTAGCAAACTGCCAAATACTTAAGGCAGAGTTGTAAATGCATACTTAATGTATCTAATAATCGTCATTTTGTCCTGCCCACTTTGTTGCTTTCCGTCTAGTTATTGTTCAATGTTGGACACTAGTTTTGTGATATCTCTGATTTACCATGCTTTCAGAATGAAGAAACATTGTCTGTTCACTTGGAATACGTCTCTGGGGGTTCCATCCACAAATTGCTTCAAGAATATGGTGCATTTGGGGAGCCTGTTATCCAAAATTATACTAGACAAATCCTTGCCGGGCTTGCCTATTTACATGGAAGAAACACTGTGCATCGGTATGAGATTGTCACAATATTTGTGATTTGTCAAATCAATCTCTCCTATATTGTCCTAGCTTTCTCACAAAGCGTAGTTTTTTCTTTTGGTAGGGATATCAAGGGTGCGAACATATTGGTAGATCCCAATGGTGAAATTAAGCTTGCAGATTTTGGCATGGCAAAACATGTACTACTTCTATCCCTCTGCATGTTTTTTGCTTAGTACTGAAGAATACATAAGTGACTCATCGAGCAAGTAAGGAAGGTAGACAATGGAAATTACTATTGCACTTTATGAGGTTGATGTGGAAGTTGAGAAAGGACAAAGCTTGGGTTCTTGCCCAATGTCAACTTGAAATAAACTATATATACTACTTTCTCAGATTTTTGGTTCATCCTGTTCATGACCAAATGAAACATAAGGGTATATACAAGCACAAACTACTAAAAAACAAACAGAAAGAAATGTGTCAATTTTGCAAAGACACCCTAATATTTAATTTAATTATATGCACACGCGGGCACATTTCAGAAACACACTAGGACTCCAGTCATTTGATGGCGTTAACAATTTTAACAAAAAGACTATTTTATCCTTTATTTGATTAGTCAAAATTTTATAAACAAGGTTTAACCCAACCTCATGACCAATGACCCATGCCCGATGCGCATGTTCTCTCGCAAATCCCACCATTCCACCATAGAATCCCTTACCCCCACCCAGCACATAGCCCCCTTCCATACCCCCAGCTCACAACCCTACCTCATTCACAAAGCTGCTGCCTCTCATTCTAATACTCATCCTCTCTCCTTTTCTCATGCACGCCACCCCCTCCCTCCCAAGTCGCCCACCACCAGCACTATAGACCACCTAACTGCTCACCATTTTAGCTCTCACTTCCACTGCCCCACTCGTTTTCATAGAGTCCAATTTTTTAACAAGTGAAAATTGGAGGTTAGCTGCAAGTACTACTTTCCAGATTAATCATAGACGCGTAAGCATTTGTGATTTGTCACTTTTGGGAAAATAATTAATTGGAATGTAAAAAGAATCAAAATGAAAAGGCAATCAGATGGGCTTGAAGTAGATGCTTCTCTAACTATGCTTTTTGTTGCCTACTTTAGCTATGTGTGTGTGTGCGTGAGAGAGAGAGAGAGAGAGAGAAAGTGAGAGAGAGATATGATGATGATGAGTAAATTGGATCTTGTGTGTACCTGGCTACCTACTGTGGGTTTGTGGTGGTGTGCTTTATCATAGCCAAGCTTATTTACCCTATTGGCTAGGGCCAAGATTTGGCCGCCACTCCATGTCATTTCTGACCACCTTATACGGTCACCCGATATCCAAGTCAACATCAACAAAGATCTCTTAGTTCCTCACGGTCGAGTTGACTTGGAAACAAGCTAGTACCTTTCTTATTAGTGGTAAGATAGGTTACCCCTTTACCCTTTTAATAATAACATAAGCTTCCAAAGCTCTTTCATTCTACTAGGAGCCTTCACTTTTTGGATTGTCTTTTGTCCAATGCGATAGCCCCTTTTTTTGCATCCAACATATTAATTCAATGTAGGGAGAATTAGTTGTAGTTTTTGTTCTTGGATGTGGGATAGTGCACAATGGGGCCTTTGAGGGCTCTCCTTGTTGGCTCCTCCCTCATCTTGTTGTTCTTGGAACTAAAGGAAGAAATCTAACTCCTATTCATTCTGTAAGAGATAAAGTAAGACTTTTTAAGGATTATCTTCTCTTTGCATGACAATGACAATCTCATGAAGATGATCATAACATTATTGGTGGTACGACAGTTAAGGTAGGCGGTACAACGGTGGTGGCGATTGTTGACTTTGAGGTGTCTGGAATGATCACAACATTATACGCTCATGAAAAATCGAGTTGTGAGCAATCTAAATAGTATTGACATTGTCACAATACATAGGGGTTAGATCATATAAAGAGATGCCAAGATTAGCAAGAAGTCATCGTAACCAAATTATCTTAGCTGTACTAGATGTCATAACATGATATTCAGCTTCAGCAGAGGAGTAAGCAACAATAGTTTGTTTCTTACTTTTCCAGGAAATAAGAGAATCACCAAGAAAAAGATAGAAGTTAGGGATGGATTTGCGATCCATAGTCACAAGTCTAGTTAGCATCAGAGCAAGCTTTAAGTTTCATAGAAGAAGAGGAAGAAAATAATAGTCTGTGATGTAGATTACCTCGAAGATACCGATTAATACAAAGAATAGTAGCTCAATGAACAGTGGTGGGTGAAACAACAAACTGACCAACAACATGAACAATATAAGAGATATTTGGGCGTATGACTGCTAGATATACTAAGCTTTCAAAATCAGTGTGGTACAGTGTAGGATCAGGCACGAGAGTACCATCGGAAGAAGAATAACGAATATTGAGCTTGAATGTGTTCAATTTTCCAATTATCTAATAAGGGGTCTTGCTGATAACATCTAATACATGCTTGAACGAGGAGATAAGCTTTAGGAAATGAAACAAGCTTAATGCCTAAGAAATAATTGAGTAACCCAAATCCTTAATCTCAAAATGATCTTGCAATTGAGTTTTTAATAGTCATGTATTACTAGTGTCATCGCATATAATAATCATATCATCAACATACAGTAAGAAGACAATAGAACTCAAGGAAGTGGATTACAAAAATATAGCAGAATCATGATTACTAACACAAAAACCTAAGTCACAGAAGGGTGAATAAAACTTGGCAAACCATGCCCTCGGAGCTTGTCTCAGACCACATAATGTTTTGGGAAGTCTGCTTACTTGATTAGGATTATGAGATAATCCAGGAGGAGTCATAAAAACCTCTTCACTTAAATCTTCACAAAGAAAAATAAAATACGTATACGACAACCATACTGAGTTTTTATTTCCTTGCGAAAGGTCTCAAATTTAGAAAATAATTCAAAACGAGTTTTCATCAGAAACAATCAGGTTACACAAGAATAATTATCCACAAATAATGCAAAAATAAGGATATTTATTAGATAAAATATTTTTTATTGGACCTTATACATCAAAATGCACTAACTCAAATGGACTAGACGCGATTATCGACTCTAGACTAAAAGGAGATACGGTGATGCTTTCTAAGTTGACAAATTTCACAAGACACAGACAACACATAACTAAGACTGGAAACTTAGCGTTTCAGATTTTGGAGAGAGGGATGTCTAAGACGACAATGTCATTGAAAATGAGACAACAAGGTCTGTAGAGCCCAAGTAGGTGAATCAAAGTCAAGGTAATATAAGCCACTAGCTTCATGCCCTGTATCAATTTTCCCCTTTCNACAACGAGGTCTGTAGAGCCCAAGTAGGTGAATCAAAGTTAAGGTAATATAAGCCACTAGCTTCATGCCCTGTATCAATTTTCCTCTTCCTCTTAAGATTCTGAAATACACAATAAAAGGGATAAAAAGTTACAGAATAATTGAGAGAATAAGTAATCTTGTTAATGGAAAGAAAACTGAGGAACAAATAACACAGAAGATAGGGACATATCAGGACTCAAAGGAGTGGTCTCTAAATCTAAAACTTTAGAACAAGTATCATTAGCAAGAGTAATACTATGTGTGGAAATAGCAGATTGATAAGTAGAAAAAACACCAAGACGCACCAGTCATGTGGTCAGAAGCGTTAGAGTCTATGATCTAACGATTATGAGTGGAGCACAATAAACAAGTAGAAGCGGTACGTGACTGAGCAAAAGTAGTAGTGGAGGAAGAGGGAACAACCTATTACTGTGACAAGAACTGAGCATACTCCTCTCGTGTAATAGTAACCAACCCAGAGTTTGGTGGAGCTAATCGAGGTATAGAAGTAACAATTGAGGAGGTATCACCCTGATAGGAAACCTGATTAGCAGCACCAGAAGGTTTTCTATATAAATCTCAACAGAAATTAATAGTGTGCCCTCCACAACCACAGTAAGTACAGGAACGAGGTCCACTACCGCCCTCATGACCACTCGTACGACTTACTGTATGACCTCCACGACTACTACGATTAGCACGTCCACCTCGATGACCATCACTATGGCTACTAAGAACCACAAGAGCTGAGGGAGTAGACAAAGTAGCATACTGTAAACGATAGAAAATCTCAAGTAGAGAGGGAAGACTAGAACTGCCCAAAACCTAAGAACGAATAGCCTCATATTCAGGTTTTAATCCTACTAAAAACCTAACAACATTCAAATTTTCATGTTGCTTCTGTCAAACTGTTGCATCAGTAATAAACGGATGGTAGAGTTTCAACTCCTCACAGACTCCCCGAATGTGAGAATAATAATCTTTAAGGCTCAGAGTACCCTACTCCAGTCAGAAGTATTGCTTGTATATCTCATAAGCACGAGTAAAATTACTTGTACTAGAATATATAGTGGGCAAGTGATCCCATATCTTTTTGGCAATGTCAAGAAAGAGTAGAGTAAAGTTAATACTAAGCTTAATGCTATTCAACAATAAAGAGATAATCTGAGCGTCCTCTTGTTCCCACTGATTATACCCAGAAGTATCTTCCTTGGGTTTAGGATTAACCAAATATTTCTTAAAACCTTTGTCTCGAAGGAAGACTTGAACAAAGCTGGACCATAAAGTATAATTAGTCCCATTGAGTTTAACGGAAGTCATGGAACCATTAAGAAGAATCGGAGAAGCAAAGGTAGGTGACAAAGATGAAGCAAGGGAGTTAGCATCTTGCTTGGGTTCCATAATAGTGCAACAAATAGCAAACAAGAGAGTCTTACTGCTGGGTGACTGAACTAAGCAAGAGGAAATCACTAGATCACTAAACTAGATAAGAATCCTCTATTGCACTATTGAACCGGAGAAGAAGAGGTTGTTGGATCACTGAACTGGGCTGGGCTCGCTGAACCATTAAACCGATGTAAAAATTGATTGAACCAATCTGAACAGGTGCAAAACTAGCTAAATCGGACTGTGGATCGCTGAACCAGAGCAATAACTAAAGGAATTGGTCTGAACCGGTGAAAAAACTACTTGAACTGGCTTAGAGTGGATCAAATTGGTATTGAACAGGGATTGAACCCAACTTGGACCGGTCTGGTCTGAAGGCTACTAGATTTTGACTAAATCTCTTGGATCTGGATTCAGGTCTGGATTTGGATTTGGATTTGGATCTAGATCTGTTCTGGGCTTGAGAATAGTTTATACCCGTGGACTTGGATCAGTTACCCAAACCCACAACCGACCCACTCGAACCGGGTTGTCTTCTTCACTTATTAAGGTTTCAACCAAACCCTACTTCTTCCTTAAATGTCGATAGCGCCAAGAGAACAACCACCACAGATGGCGCCAAAACCAGATGCCACCAATGTCAGCCACACACCACCACGAAGCAGAATTAGGAGCCATCAATGTCGACAGCGTCTCATACCCAACCAGCAGCTACCATGACGACGACGAAGACGAAAGCTATGGAGTTGCGACAGCAACACCACACCACCCCACCACAAAGATGGGTCACAACACAACTGCGACAACACCCCACGGCCAAGGACTTCCACAGTAGTCACACCAAGAACTTTGACAATCTAGGTTAATATTTGTATTTAGAATCGTTTTGCTCTAATACCATGTTAAGTTGAGAGAATTAACACAATATTAGAGAGAAACAAAGAGTGGTCAAAACTTAATCTACTTCTCACAAATCACTTGTATTTATAATTAACTTATAATAATACAAAAGACGTATACACCCTCTTATATTTACACATAATACCCTAATACTCTTAATAATTCTAAAAAAAAAAACCAAGGCTCTCAATCAATTGTGGTTGTGTTGATCCGATCATGTGTTAATTTGAATATGAAGCTTTGAAGGAGTGATATCAGATCTTTGTATTTGTGTGGCATAGTACACAGATGGTGGGTTGTTTTGTTGCTTGGTTCTAATTTGTGCAAACCAAGCTTAAGGTGCTACTGGGTGTGCTCGTCGAAGTGAAGTTTTTTTTGCTAAATGAAATTGTTATTTATTTTTTGGTTGAATCATCGTTGGTTTATCTTGACTGTGCCTTGATTTTGTAGTGTAATCTTCTTGGTGATGTGTTGCTTGAATCGTTAACATAAGTCCAATAAATATAATTTCTGCCTAGTAATTTTACACATATGGCTTGGAGTGAATCTGAACCCTTACTGACCAAATCACAAGGAATTAATTTCAAGACCAAGAGTCACAAGAAACCAAAGTCCATAGATACATAGACTAAGATAATCAATCTAATTAGGCCAAGACACAGATACCCAATCTAAACCAAGAAACCAAACCCCACAAACCATCAAACCAAACAATTTAAGTAAGCTAAAGAAGAAAATATGCAAACCATCCGATGAAGTTGGTTCGACACAAGAAGAAGCAACAAGATCTAGAGACCACCAAATCAGATCAAGGAAACACCAAACCAAAAGCGAAATAACAACCTAGAGCATAGGTGGCAAAACCATTGCTCTTGTTCAACGAAGAGAAGAGAAGATCCAAGATTTCATCACAAATTGCTTCAAGATGCTTTGAAATTTTGTGCCAAACATCAAGAACCCTAATTCACACCTTTTGGAAGAGATTTGAACCAGAAAAATTGTAGAAATCCAAGCGAAATTCCAGATCTCAAAAATTATGAGAAATTTTTCGAGAATATTCAAAAAATAAAAGTCCAACAAATTGATCTCAAAATCGAAAACTATGTTGTTACCCATGAGAAGTCAAGCAGGTAGGTGTCTCTGGTGGTGTTTGGTTGATGACGTCATGATTCATGTAGATGATGTCAACCCTAATTACCTTTAGTTTCTTTCTTTAAAAAATACTAAAGTGCTTTAATTCATGTTCAGGACTGGAATATGCTCTAATACCATGAAAATATTGATCAAAACAAGGAATACGGAAGAGAGAATGAAAGAATGTATTATGGCTTAATTGATTTATCAAAACAAAACACGACCCTAGATACACAGTACAAGCCCTTATATGGTAGGGCAACATAAAAGAAAAGAAACGACTAAACTACAAATATTAAGAAACTAAACTACTCTAACAGTGGTGGTGATGGTTGACTTTGGTGTGTCAGGTACATAGTGGTTTAGGTTGGGAGAAGACGATGATGGGATGGAAATGGTGGACATGGTTGTGCAGATTAAGCCCGTTGGTATCAATGGTGGTGGTGCCATCTATTGTGGGTTTGGAGTGTGATTGGGCCGACGATTGTAGGGGTTTTTGAAATTATGTAATTAATTCCATAAAGATTTTCATAAATTAATTTTTAGAATTCTTAAATGTATTAAAATCTATAAGTAATGTCCGAATTGTATGATTAATTATCCTTAGATTTGTATGATTAAATAACTAGACTAAAATTCCTAAAAAAAAATAACTAGATTAAAACCATTGTTCATGTAATTGTCACAGTTGATTAATACATCCATTTGATGCGAACATTTTGGAATTAATGGATCTAATTACCAAAATTGTGATTTTTAGTGTGAATTAATAATTAATTTTGACTTATAGTTGACATGATAATAAATCAATACAATTTGGTTTTAATTTGGGGATGAATTGATCTTAGAAGGACACTTTTCCCTTATAAGGGTATTTTAGGAATCCTTCAATTTTTTTAGCTTATGTCACCATTTACCATCAGCCTTTCTAATATCCTTTAAATGTGGATCTCACTGATATTTCTGAAATGTGTTGGGGTTTCCATATAATTATGTCAAACGCCAGGGGGGCGCATGAAAGTTTCCCAAAGAGTTTGTTTTCAATCATATCCAAGGAAATCATTTAATGAGTTCTCTATTTTGGCGGGCATTAATCATACAATCTAATTTCTAGTTTTATGAAGCAGATTACAGCTTGTTCTTCAATGCTTTCATTCAAAGGAAGTCCATACTGGATGGCTCCTGAGGTACCCGTAAACTTACTCTCTCTTCCTAAGCACATGCAGAATATCCTCTGCCTGTTTTTTCGTCGGTTTGATCTGTATATTTTTAAAACCATACAAGTTTTGCAATTATTCATATGCATCTCTGTATCTAATCTCAGGTCATAATGAATACAAACGGCTACAGCCTTGCAGTAGACATCTGGAGCTTAGGATGTACCATTCTTGAAATGGCAACATCAAAACCACCTTGGAGCCAATATGAAGGGGTGAGATAGTCAATTACCTACATTATTGAAATCTTTGTTAGGGCCAGTATCAAAATGTTCACAGGACCAACGACTTTTTGTTATGTGGGAATCCACAGGTGGCTGCGATATTTAAAATTGGAAACAGCAAAGAGATTCCTGAAATTCCTGATCACCTGTCTAATGATGCCAAAAACTTCATAAGGCTATGTTTGCAGCGAGAACCATCTGCACGCCCGATGGCCCCACAACTGCTAGATCACCCTTTCATTCGGGACTTGGCTACCACAAGAGTTGCGAATTCCAAAATAACCAAGGAAGCCTTTCCTTATACCTTTGATGGAAGCCACACACCGGTAAAGGCTTCAAGATGCTCTTAACTTTTTCAGACTATATTGTCTTACCTTCTTGTTTGTAGTTTATACTTTCCATCATTTAGAACTCCCACCGCACCACCAGCTTAATACTGTGGTATTGTTGTCAAGCTTTGTTGACTTGAGTTTTGTGCACGGAGGGTTTTAAAGCTTCAAATGCCAAAAATTAAAAAAACAATATAATAAGGTAGAACTATAATATGAGAAAGAAAAACCTAATTGGATGATTGTAATGTGCCGATGACCAAGGAAATAGGGTGGGTATCCTTGTTCAAGAACTTGACCGTTTGAGGTATATACCTCACATAATAGCTTGAGCATCAAAACAATAAGTGCAGCCTTCAGATTGATTACTGAAGAAGTTAGTATGTGAACTGTTTTTCCATTTAAGTTTGTCTTACATGTGTTCTTGACAATATGTATATGCTTGCTCAATACCTTTAATGCATCTTAATATTTGAAATCGAAAATATTGCCTCCCTTAATTTTCTATCGCAATGTGTTTTAGGGGTATGTACTCACTGGCCACGTCGTTTCGAGAAAAGTGAACATAGATTTTTTTTTTTCTTTAAAACCATGCTATTAGTAAGCAATATCCATAGGCTGTGTAGCCTTTGACTAATTTCTCCTTGTTTATATGTTGAAACAGACTGCTTCCGAGCTTCACTCCAACAGAACAAATGTAAATACGTGCAATGGAGATTATGTGGCAAAATCAGTGTTTACAGTCTCAAGAACTTCGATTAGCCCAAGGTAAAGCACACCCCTAACCACCGCTCTTCTCAACAAAAAACAAAAATCAAAAGGAAAANTTTTTTTTTTTTTGTCTATAAAACACTTGTGTTACTCTTATATGTTAAGTCTGTGTTTAATTATGTTTTTCATGAAAAAGGTTATTTGGTTAATGATTACATTTTATTGTATTTGTCAAATTTTGAAAATTAGGTGTATTTGTATAAGATTATCCACATCAAAAAATTATTCGAATATTAAGGATTATGATCACTTGTTTGTGGATTGTAAATATGTTCGAATGATCTGGTCTACATTTGCTACAGTTTGTGGAATCCAGTGAGTGTCCTTGGCAATATATGGGTTATTTGAGGAAGATCAAAGTTCTTTTGAGCAGTTTAAAGTTTAGATTAACCCATGTATTTCGTGAAACTAATTCGGTGATAGATATGCTTGTAGATCAGGCTATGGTGTGCATGCGATCAGTGGATTACTCTGTAGATTTAAGGTTGCCTTGTGAGGTTGCTTCTGTTTTGGCCCTTTTGGTGGAGGATCAGAATGGTTGCCAGTTTTGCGAAGATGAAGGTGATTATGTTTGATGATAAGGGCTAAGGTTGTTGAAGGTTTTGGAGTTTTGTTTTTGTTTGTTTTAATAGGCGTTTGTGCCTTATTTTCCTTTGATTGTTATATTAAGGCGTTTGTGCCTTACTTTTGCTTCTTGTAAATTTGTTTTGTTAATAAATAAAATTTTTCTTTCTTTAAAAAAAAAAAGTACCATTTCTGAAGGATTATGTAGGATATTGATGAAAGTATCACATTTTTATTTTTTTTATTTTTTGTTTATTATTGATTTTTATTATTTTTTTAGTGAATTTTTTCATTATGTGATATTTTATGACTTTATTTACGACATATTTAATCTAATTTGTCAAGTTTTAAAATTAATAGAAGTCCTCGTTATAATGAAATATGCAATAAGTTGAAAATTTGATGATAAAAAGTTATTTTGATTAAATTTCATTCTATTCCAATAAAAATTATTTTCTCCAAACTTTGGAATGGAATGAGCATTCCATTTCAAGACTTAATCCAAATTAATTGTCAAATATTGGAATGATAATACACATTTCATTCCATTCCCATATTCATTCCATTCTTGTTTAAAGGCATTACTGCATACCAAACGCAAACGTAATAGTATTACTCTTTTTATTATCACAAAAGATTCAAATAAACATATGGGATATTTCATTCTGAATCAACATTGAGACTTCAACTCCCATCCCTAGCTGGCTAGCTTGATAATAAATAGTATAGATTTTTGCAATTGTCAAAAAAAAAAAAAAAAAGCACAAAAGCATAAACAAGAACAAAATTTGATGGAAAGCAACGGGGCACTCATTAAAAAAAAAAAATGTAGGTCTCACATAATAAGGCGTTTAATATACATCCGGACTTGCCCCGTCATCGGTTGGAAAGTAAATGCATGAAAAGATCGTACATTAAAAAAAAAAGAGTTAATTATAAATTGTCCTCCAAAAGATTGTTTGAATTTTAATCTGTACCTTTAAAGATAAAAAATTTTAATTTATTTCCTCAAAGATAAAAATTTATATCAATATGCACCCTAAAAGATAAAAAATCTTAATTTGTACCCTCAAAGATATAAATTTGTATTAATATGCACCTAAAACTGACCGTCATTAGTTTTATGCCTAAAACTATATTGATAAATTATACTTAGATTCACTCATACTTGTCACTTAATCATTTGAACCCTTTATATTTATAATATTACTTCTATATCTCATGACGTTTGTGCACGTGTAACACGTAAATTCTTTTGGTTGGTAACTGTTAATATAACTGATAAAAAATATGATTTTATTATAATAAAAAATCATATTACCCTTTATTTTGTGGGTTCGATAATGATATATTCTAAAATTCAAAATCAAGCTTATCATTTGAATGTTCAATAGAATATAGGTATTTATATAATATTTTTTATATCCAATATAATATATTACTTAAACATAATTATTTGAATGCCTAATTGGGAGGACATTTTAGATTGAGAGTATTTTTATTAGGATTTTATAACCGTTAAAAAATATGATTTTATCATAATAAAAATATATAATTTTATATTATCCTTTATTTTGTGAAGGAGTTCAAATGATTAAATGACAAGCATGAGAGATTTAGATATAATTTATCAATTTAGTTTTAGGCAACAAATTGACGACGGTTAGTTTTAGGTGTACATGTATACAAATTTTTTATCTCTGAGGGTGCAAATTAAGAATTTTGATCTTTAGGGGTGTGTATTGATACACATTTTTATCTTTGAGAGTACAAATTGAGATTTTTTTTATCTTTGGGGGTATAAATTGAGATTCAAATAATTTTTTTTGGGATACAATTTACAATTAACCCAAAAAAAAGGGTTAATTGCAAGTTGCACTTTGAAAGATAGTTCGAATCTTAATTTACACTCCTAAAGATCAAAAATTTTAATTTGCACCCTTAAAGATACAAATTTGTATCAATGTACACCCCCAAAAATAAAAAATCTCAATTTACACCCTTAAAGATAGAAATTTGTATCAATGTGTACCCCCAAAGATAAAAAATCTTAATTTACACCCCCAAAGATAGAAATTTGTATCAATATACATCTAAAACTAAATTAATAAATTATATCTAGATCCCCTCATACTTGTCACTTAATCATTTGAACTCCTTCACGTTTAGAATATTACTTTCACATCTTATGACCTTTGTGCACGTGTAACACGTAACTTTTTTCTATTGATGTATGTTAATATAACCATTAAAAATATGATTTTATCCTAATAAAAAATTATAATTTCATATTCCCTTTATTTTGTGGGTCCGATATACTTTAAAGTTCAAAATCAAGCTTACCATTTGAATGTCTAATAGAACATAAATATTTATGTAGTATTTTTTATATCCAATGCAATATATCACTCAATATGCAGTCNGAATGTCTAATAGAACATAGATATTTATGTAGTATTTTTTATATCCAATGCAATATATCACTCAATGTGCAACCCTTTATTCTATTAGATATTCAAATGGTAAGCTTGATTTTGAATTTTAGAGTATATTGAACCTATAAAATAAAAGGTAATATGAAATTATAATTTTTTATTAGGATAAAATTATATTTTTTAACAGTTATATTAGCATATATCAACGAAAAAGGGGTTATGTGTTACACGTGCATAAACGTAATGAAATGTATGAGTAATATTCAAAATGTAAAGAGGTTCAAATGATTAAGTGATCAACATAAGGGATCTAGGTATAATTTATCAATTTAATTTTAGGTGGGGGGTTGCTTGTTTTTTGCATTAGCATTATGTACAACTCTGTTTATTANCCCTCCACAACCACAGTAAGTACAGGAACGAGGTCCACTACCGCCCTCATGACCACCCGTACGACTTGCTGTATGACCTCCACGACTACTACGATTAGCACGTCCACCTCGATGACCATCACTATNTTCTTCACTTATTAAGGTTTCAACCAAACCCTACTTCTTCCTTAAATGTCGATAGCGCCAAGAGAACAACCTCTACAGATGGCGCCAAAACCAGATGCCACCAATGTCAGCCACACACCACCACGAAGCAGAATTAGGAGCCATCAATGTTGACAGCGTCTCATACCCAACCAACAGCTACCATGACGACGACGAAGACGAAAGCTATGGAGTTGCGACAGCAACACCACACCACCCCACCACAAAGATGGGTCACAACACAACTGCGACGACACCCCACGGCCAAGGATTTCCACAGTAGTCACACCAAGAACTTTGACAATCTAGGTTAATATTTGTATTTAGAATCGTTTTGCTCTAATACCATGTTAAGTTGAGAGAATTAACACAATATTAGAGAGAAACAAAGAGTGGTCAAAACTTAATCTACTTCTCACAAATCACTTGTATTTATAATTAACTTATAATAATACAAAAGACGTATACACCCTCTTATATTTACACATAATACCCTAATACTCTTAATAATTCTAAAAAAAAAAACCAAGGCTCTCAATCAATTGTGGTTGTGTTGATTCGATCATGTGTTAATTTGAATATGAAGCTTTGAAGGAGTGATATCAGATCTTTGTATTTGTGTGGCATAGTACACAGATGGTGGGTTGTTTTGTTGCTTGGTTCTAATTTGTTGCAAACCAAGCTTAAGGTGCTACTGGGTGTGCTCGTCGAAGTGAAGTTTTTTTTGCTAAATGAAATTGTTATTTATTTTTTGGTTGAATCATTGTTGGTTTATCTTGACTGTGCCTTGATTTTGTAGTGTAATCTTCTTGGTGATGTGTTGCTTGAATCGTTAACATAAGTCCAATAAATATAATTTCTGCCTAGTAATTTTACACATATGGCTTGGAGTGAATCTGAACCCTTACTGACCAAATCACAAGGAATTAATATCAAGACCAAGAGTCACAAGAAACCAAAGTCCATAGATACATAGACTAAGATAATCAATCTAATTAGGCCAAGACACAGATACCCAATCTAAACCAAGAAACCAAAGCCCACAAACCATCAAACCAAACAATTTAAGTAAGCTAAAGAAGAAAATATGCAAACCATCCGATGAAGTTGGTTCGACACAAGAAGAAGCAACAAGATCTAGAGACCACCAAATCAGATCAAGGAAACACCAAACCAAAAGCGAAATAACAACCTAGAGCATAGGTGGCAAAACCATTGCTCTTGTTCAACGAAGAGAAGAGAAGATCCAAGATTTCATCACAAATTGCTTCAAGATGCTTTGAAATTTTGTGCCAAACATCAAGAACCCTAATTCACACCTTTTGGAAGAGATTTGAACCAGAAAAATTGTAGAAATTCAAGCGAAATTCCAAATCTCAAAAATTATGAGAAATTTTTCGAGAATATTCAAAAAATAAAAGTCCAACAAATTGATCTCAAAATCGAAAACTATGTTGTTACCCATGAGAAGTCAAGCAGGTAGGTGTCTCTGGTGGTGTTTGGTTGATGACGTCATGATTCATGTAGATGATGTCAACCCTAATTACCTTTAGTTTCTTTCTTTAAAAAATACTAAAGTGCTTTAATTCATGTTCAGGACTGGAAAATGCTCTAATACCATGAAAATATTGATCAAAACAAGGAATACGGAAGAGAGAATGAAAGAATGTATTATGGCTTAATTGATTTATCAAAACAAAACACGACCCTAGATACACAGTACAAGCCCTTATATGGTAGGGCAACATAAAAGAAAAGAAACGACTAAACTACAAATATTAAGAAACTAAACTACTCTAACAGTGGTGGTGATGGTTGACTTTGGTGTGTCAGGTACATAGTGGTTTAGGTTGGGAGAAGACGATGATGGGATGGAAATGGTGGACATGGTTGTGCAGATTAAGCCCGTTGGTATCAATGGTGGTGATGCCATCTATTGTGGGTTTGGAGTGTGATTGGGCCGACGATTGTAGGGGTTTTTGAAATTATGTAATTAATTCCATAAAGATTTTCATAAATTAATTTTTAGAATTCTTAAATGTATTAAAATCTATAAGTAATGTCCGAATTGTATGATTAATTATCCTTAGATTTGTATGATTAAATAACTAGACTAAAATTCCTAAAAAAAAATAACTAGATTAAAACCATTGTTCATGTAATTGTCACAGTTGATTAATACATCCATTTGATGCGAACATTTTGGAATTAATGGATCTAATTACCAAAATTGTGATTTTTAGTGTGAATTAATAATTAATTTTGACTTATAGTTGACATGATAATAAATCAATACAATTTGGTTTTAATTTGGGGATGAATTGATCTTAGAAGGACACTTTTCCCTTATAAGGGTATTTTAGGAATCCTTCAATTTTTTTAGCTTATGTCACCATTTACCATCAGCCTTTCTAATATCCTTTAAATGTGGATCTCACTGATATTTCTGAAATGTGTTGGGGTTTCCATATAATTATGTCAAACGCCAGGGGGGCGCATGAAAGTTTCCCAAAGAGTTTGTTTTCAATCATATCCAAGGAAATCATTTAATGAGTTCTCTATTTTGGCGGGCATTAATCATACAATCTAATTTCTAGTTTTATGAAGCAGATTACAGCTTGTTCTTCAATGCTTTCATTCAAAGGAAGTCCATACTGGATGGCTCCTGAGGTACCCGTAAACTTACTCTCTCTTCCTAAGCACATGCAGAATATCCTCCGCCTGTTTTTTCGTCGGTTTGATCTGTATATTTTTAAAACCTTACAAGTTTTGCAATTATTCATATGCATCTCTGTATCTAATCTCAGGTCATAATGAATACAAACGGCTACAGCCTTGCAGTAGACATCTGGAGCTTAGGATGTACCATTCTTGAAATGGCAACATCAAAACCACCTTGGAGCCAATATGAAGGGGTGAGATAGTCAATTACCTACATTATTGAAATCTTTGTTAGGGCCAGTATCAAAATGTTCACAGGACCAACGACTTTTTGTTATGTGGGAATCCACAGGTGGCTGCGATATTTAAAATTGGAAACAGCAAAGAGATTCCTGAAATTCCTGATCACCTGTCTAATGATGCCAAAAACTTCATAAGGCTATGTTTGCAGCGAGAACCATCTGCACGCCCGATGGCCCCACAACTGCTAGATCACCCTTTCATTCGGGACTTGGCTACCACAAGAGTTGCGAATTCCAAAATAACCAAGGAAGCCTTTCCTTATACCTTTGATGGAAGCCACACACCGGTAAAGGCTTCAAGATGCTCTTAACTTTTTCAGACTATATTGTCTTACCTTCTTGTTTGTAGTTTATACTTTCCATCATTTAGAACTCCCACCGCACCACCAGCTTAATACTGTGGTATTATTGTCAACCTTTGTTGACTTGAGTTTTGTGCACGGAGGGTTTTAAAGCTTCAAATGCCAAAAATTAAAAAAACAATATAATAAGGTAGAACTATAATATGAGAAAGAAAAACCTAATTGGATGATTGTAATGTGCCGATGACCAAGGAAATAGGGTGGGTATCCTTGTTCAAGAACTTGACCGTTTGAGGTATATACCTCACATAATAGCTTGAGCATCAAAACAATAAGTGCAGCCTTCAGATTGATTACTGAAGAAGTTAGTATGTGAACTGTTTTTCCATTTAAGTTTGTCTTACATGTGTTCTTGACAATATGTATATGCTTGCTCAATACCTTTAATGCATCTTAATATTTGAAATCGAAAATATTGCCTCCCTTAATTTTCTATCGCAATGTGTTTTAGGGGTATGTACTCACTGGCCATGTCGTTTCGAGAAAAGTGAACATAGATTTTTTTTTTTCTTTAAAACCATGCTATTAGTAAGCAATATCCATAGGCTGTGTAGCCTTTGACTAATTTCTCCTTGTTTATATGTTGAAACAGACTGCTTCCGAGCTTCACTCCAACAGAACAAATGTAAATACGTGCAATGGAGATTATGTGGCAAAATCAGTGTTTACAGTCTCAAGAACTTCGATTAGCCCAAGGTAAAGCACACCCCTAACCACCGCTCTTCTCAACAAAAAACAAAAACCAAAAGGAAAAAGGAAAGGCTGAAAAGGGCTACTTTATTAAGTTTTCTATCCTTTACATGTTATCATGCTCTGTAATCTTGAATTAACTCTGCTGTTATCTTGCCTTCTATACATAGGGATAATGTTAGAACGATCATGTCTTTGCCGGTATCTCCCTGTTCAAGCCCCTTACGACAAAATGGACCAGCAAATAGGAGCTGTTTCCTTTCTCCTACACACCCATCTTATGCTTTGGCGGGGCAACGTGGTTACCATTTGGATTATTACTTGATGTTTCCAACGAGACCTAGTGCAAGTACACTTGATCCGTGGCAGGGAATTCCCCAATTTAAGGCCGAAACAACATGTAGATCGCCAATGACTAGATCCATTTTATAGAGTGCAATGATGCATGAAACTAATCTTTTCATGTTGCACCAAAATGCACATTGGAGCAAGAATCACACGTAAATTATGATCTCTCTCGTTGGCGAAGAATTTGGTTGGGTTTAGTAATGAAGACGGTAAATGGAGTGTGCTTGCTTGTTTATTTTCTTCCTTGAGACAAACAGAGGATGGGAAAGATGAAAGAGTAATTATGGGTAGCCAGAACTTGGACGCATTAGGGAGAGATTGTGTTTCTTGATTTTGTGACTGTAATCTATAATTTGATTCAAATGTAAAGGAAAGGTGGCTACGGTGATTGTTAGATTCGTAGCGTATGTTGACAAAAATATGTCTATGAATTGCACCAAGATTTTGAATAGCTTGTTGATTGGTTTCCACTCTCTTCAAATGAGTCCTGTTCAAACAGTTTTTAAAAGTGTACAAGTGAAGGTGATTTTGTCTCTTTTCAGTCTTCAGATAGTGTTGAATGGAGAACCATGCCAATATTTTCTCCACCACCACCCTTGGCCGCCTCAAAAAACACCACACAAAAATTTAAAATAACCAAAAAAAAAGAAAAGGAAGAACTCCATTAATGGCCTTGTCCGTCCACTTTTGGCCTTGGCCATGAGAATTTATGTCAAAATTTTGTTTGGGATAAAACACAAAAGAAAAAAAAATTCTATACGAATGTCATAGTTGCACAATGGTTTTATTAATTGTAATTATATTAATTCGAATTTGTGAGTTAACCTTCTCAAGCTGATATGAAAAAAAAAAAAAAAAAGAGTAACACATTACGAATTTGTACCTTGTTATTGTAATTTGATCAAAATTTACCTGCAATTGTATGGAATGAATATTTTTATTAGAGCAATGCTATTGGAACCTAATTTACTAATATAATTTGTTATTCTAATTCACTGTGACCTTTGGATTCGTTTTAGACTCCATCAAATATTAAAATTTGATGTTGATCCAATAATTTCTATAAAGTTATATCATTATGTCAACAAATTAGGTCAAAATTTTAAGTTCTAACGCTATGTTTGGTATATGATATTATGTCTTAGGAATGGAATGAACATTCCATGGGAATGCCTATTCCAATGTTTGGTTTGAAGGATTTAAAATCCATTCCCATTCCAAAGGAATACCTAATCCCACAAATTATGGGATTAGGCATTACCAAATGAAATATGGTATTCTTCATTCCCAATCCATCTGGTAATGGCCCAATCCATCTGAAAAAAAACCCCGATCGCTCTTTGCTACCTCGCGTCTCATCTGGTTTCTCTCTCTCTCTCGACAGATCTCAGTGTTGTTTCAGCCAAAATACCTTGTCATCTTCCTATTCGCCTTAATTCTCATTTTCTATGCATTTTGCATCTCTCGATGGGTATGCTATTTCTCTTCAATTCTATTGTATAATGTTGATTTTTCTCCGTTTCTTTCTGATTCGGAACTCTTTATGTGTTGACTGATCGGATCTGATTACGAGTAAGAGTATATCACATGGCAAATTGCCCAAACGATTTCTTCTGGTTGGGGATTTATGAAAATCAAGCCGGGAATATTTGATTGCTGTAGATTTAGACTGTTGTAACCGATTATTTTGAGTTTTTTTATGAAATTACTGAGATTTTTCTCACTCTTAAGTACTGATTTATTAGATTCGTATTCTGTGTTTGCTGATTTGTTGAGTAAATCATAATGTTTAGTATTTTTTTTATAACTTCATCCCCTTTTGATTTTAGACCAGAAAGCTAGATTTTGCTGTGTGGCAATGATTATGTTCCATTTCGATAGCTCAAAGATTTCATTTGGGTTCTTGTTGGGTTGTTCACATGAACTTATGTGCTTGCTTTATAATATCACCTTTTCATAAATTTTTCCCGTTCTATTTGCAGAATATGACAATCTCCTATCTTGCAATAGAATTTATGCCAATAACCGTGTTTAGTTTATGATGAAATGAATTTATTAATCTCTCATATGCGATCTGTGATGAAATTCTCAATCTGTGTGCTTCATTGTACTTTGTTGTGTATATTAGTATACACATTATGGTTGTTTAAGTACTAAACAAGTATGTGCTATATTTTTGGGGTTGCTTGTTTTTTGCATTAGCATTATGTACAACTCTGTTTATTAGCACTTTAATTTGATTGTGTATTGACCATATTTTTTTTGTTTTTTTTTTGTCTATAAAACCCTTGTGTTACTCTAATCTGTTAAGTTTGTGTTTAATTATGTTTTTCATGAAAAAGGTTATTTGGTTAATGATTACATTTTATTGTATTTGTCAAATTTTGAAAATTAGGTGTATTTGTATAAGATTATCCACATCAAAAAATTATGCGAATANTATACTTTCCATCATTTAGAACTCCCACCGCACCACCAGCTTAATACTGTGGTATTGTTGTCAAGCTTTGTTGACTTGAGTTTTGTGCGCGGAGGGTTTTAAAGCTTCAAATGCCAAAAATTAAAAAAACAATATAATAAGGTAGAACTATAATATGAGAAATANGATACAAGTCTCATAGCAACATGGGTCCCATGACAATTGCAACTCACAAAGGCCATATCTGGTACAACCAATGAACTGAAGTTCTATCCAATCAAGATGACCTCAAAAGTTTTACAAAGCCTAAATACTTAATAAAACTTGAGCCAAATAACAAATCATAACATCTGGTTTTTATAATTAACCAATAGCCTTAAATCAAAAGGCCATGTACGCTAAAATGATTGACTAGCTGACTATAATAGTCAAAGGAACGTGCCCGATAACAAATTAGTCGAAATCCCATTGCAAATATCCTTACTTTGATTGAACTAGGTCTTCTTTTTGTTGCTTATTTTAGAGAAAAAAAGTGCCAGAAAATAGATACATCCGCATACCACATACCAATTCGTACAACTGATTTCAAATATAGAAACAAGCAAAAGATAAAACATTAAGAAAAACTCACGATTAATTAAACGCATAGAGAACACATGATGCACATACATACAGATACACTTCTAAATATGTTCATACATTCAACCGAATCTGAATATAAGCAATCCCATAACTGATACTACCCCCCCCTATCCCTAGGTGGATAAACAATGTATAGACCTGTTCATGAGTGAGAAAAAATGACAAACGTAAGAGGATCTGAAGAACTTACCAGTGCCATGGCTTCAAGGGTGGAAGCGTTTAAAATCTGGACACCAGAAAACGCATCAAAACCAAATAACCTTTGCATTAGACATATCATTCGAGCATACACAAACAACACTTGAGCACACATAAACAAGAAAAATAGATCAGAAGAGAGAAAAGCAGCAGTCCATACCGTCAAGAAGCAGTATGCTCAGTGAGATAATTAAGATTGGGGACCTGTGGAGGTTTAGGGTTTTGAGAGGGACAGACAAGGGCAGTATATATAGAAAGTGGGGAGGGTGTGGGCATATAAACTCGAAGGAATAGTGAAGCGGTAGCAAGAATAAATTATAAAAACTCAAGAATTTTTGAAATATTTTAGACTCAGGTCAAATTTAATTTTTTAATTTTGACGTAAATGATTTGTCTTTGACTACGCCGAGAATAGATTAATTAAGATACGTGTAAGTTAACTTAAACACTTTTGTCCATTAAACTAAAAAATAAAAACAATTAAAAAAAATGTAGACATATTTTAGTATCGTCATGAATAATTTACCTTTGACTAGATCAAGAGAGAATTAGTTGAGATACGAGTAAAATAACTCAGACACTCTTATTATCTATTGAATCAAAAAATAACAAAAATAAAAAAAGAAAGAAATGTGGACATATCAAAGCTCACATGAACCCCAAGCCAAAATATAATAATTTCTTATTTTGGATTGATGCGTAGATTTTAGAGTAATAACTATATAATGATTGTATTAGAGTGTAAGTTATAACTCTAACGCTATGTTTGGTATATGGTATTAGGCCTTAGGAATGGAATGAACATTCCATGGGAATGCCTATTCCAATGTTTGGTTTGAAAGATTTAAAATTCATTCTCATTCCAAAGGAATACTTAATCCCACAAATTATGGGATTAGGCATTACCAAATGAAACATGGTATTCTTCATTACCAATCCACTCGGTAATGCCCCAATCCATCCAGTAATGGCCCAATCCATCTGGAAAAAAACTCCGATCGCTCTTTGCTATCTCGCGTCTCATCTGGTTTCCTCTCTCTCTCTCTCTCAGCAGATCTCAGTGTTGTTTCAGCCAAAATACCTTGTCATCTTCCTATTCGCCTTAATTCTCATCTTCTATGCATTTTGCATCTCTCGACGGGTATGCTATCTCTCTTCAATTCTATTGTATAATGTTGATTTTTCTCCGTTTCTTTCTGATTCGCTACTCTTTATGTGTTGACTGATCGGATCTGATTGCGAGTAAGAGTATATCACATGGCAAATTGCCCAAATGGTTTCTTCTGGTTGGGGATTTATGAAAATCAAGCTGGGAATATTTGATTGCTGCAGATTTAGACCGTTGTAACTGATTGTTTTGAATTTTTTATGAAATTACTGAGATTTTTCTCACTCTTAAGTACTGATTTATTAGCTTCGTATTATGTGTTTGCTGATTTTTTGAGTAAATCGTAATGTGTAGTTTTTTTTTATAACTTCATCCCTTTTTGGTTTTAGACCAGAAAGCTAGATTTTATAATTTATGCCAATAACCGAGTTTAGGTTATGATGAAATGAATTTATTAATCTCTCATATGTGATATGTGATGAAGTTCTCAATCTGTGTGTCTCATTGTACTTTGTTGTGTATATTAATATACACATTATGGTTTGTTAGAGTATGTGTGACTCATATTTGTTGTGTGCACAATGGCAATGAGGCAGATGTCGGAGTGGGCGAAGCGTAGCGGAGTGGAGCGAAGCAGAACATAGCGGAGATGATTGATACTTAAATCCATACTAAGGTTATATAAATACTTAAGATGTAACCCTACTTTGAATAATT